AGTAAGTTCTGGATAACATTTAAATTTGAAATATTTCGTAAATTATTGTGTATTTCTCTTTAGAAATCAACTAATTGGTAAAGTTTAAATATAATATGTAAATTCTATTTACAATTATGATATATAAATTCCAAAATGCATGCATGTTTATATTTGGTAAATTATGATAGGTAAATATTGTAATGCATGTAATTCCGAGAGATTTGTTAAAAATTATTTTGTATTTTTCTTCAAAAATTACCTAATTCAGAAATTTTTGATTTTTGGGAGTAAAAATTATGATAAGTAATTCAAAGGTTCATCTAATTTTGAAGGATTCGGTTAATTACTTAGTGTATTTAATTTAAAATAATTTGAAATAAGATTAATCTATTTGATAATTATTTGACCACGAGTCGCAAGGTGACAAATTTAAATTTATAAATTTACTCAACAAACTTCCACTAACTAGTAGTAGCCGACAAGTAAAGGTAGTTCCCATGAGAAGTATGAACTAAATTGTGATAATTTCGTATTAATTGAATTAAAACTAAGGAAGCAATAAGGGGTATTGTTTTTGTAAAAATTAAATAAAAATTAAATAAAATGAGAAAAGTTCAATTTTTAGTTAAGTTGTCACCCAAACTAAATCTAGTGTTAGTTATTTAAATGATTTCTTTAAATTGTTAACGAATTATCAACTTTAGCTAACAACAATCTCTATTAACCAAATTTTCTCTTACCAAATATTTGATAGAAATAAACTCTTCGATTAAATCTAACTAGTAGACAACCCAAAATAAGCTTTTCAAATTTATTGCACTATCAACGTTAATCTCTTAGAAACTAGATTGGTCTAAGCAACGAATGAGTACGTTTGGACCGTTTAATTTATGTTTGCGCTACCATAGAGATGCACGCTACCTAGTTTACTCTTAACGAAAATAAAACAATAAAAATTACCGGTTAAAGTCTCGAATCTAACAATAATTAAATTGTGACTGTTCAACATAGCCAGCCGAACCAAATCAAACACTCATATTTTACAAAAGATAAAAATAGGTAGCATGAATCAAATTGTCAACAAAATTAAATACATCTTAATTAAATAGTATAAATAAAAATCCTTCAATAATCCATGGACAAAAACAAAGTTATAGTTCAAACATCCACTAAAATTGGATAAAATCTCAGTTTAACTTAATAATAAAAAATAATAGATAAAAGAGAAACAATATAATCATCTCCTTCTCGTGTGCGGGTGTAACTATGTCGTGCTCTTTTCAAAAAAAAATGTCCTAGAGGCTTTTTTTAATCGCCGAGCCCTCTTAAGTACAAATTTGAACACTTGTGTACACTTCAAGTATGACAGTTTTACGAAGATTTCTTACATCATATCAAACAGGTTTAATGGTTCAAATCCAAACAAAGAGAAAAAAATGTTCACAAGATACAGTTTGTCGAAAAACTAAACTAATAACTCAGTACACGTCCTTCAAATGCGCCGGATGTAAAATACTCATATCGTTACGATAATCATAAATCGCTATTTTTGCACCGGACATTATTCCCCAGTTAAGACAATCTGCCGTAAAATTCCTCGAAAACTCAAAATTTCTGGCTTTCACAAGAACCAAGTACTGGAGATTTACGGCTCGTTGTAGAAAGAATTTCGCCATCATCGCTTGTGGATCATTCATCACGAAGCCCTTCAACTCGACACATTTCAGAAGTGGAAATACCGTATCACATTCGATCAAATATTCCCTCCCGTGCATGTCCCAATAGATACTCTGTCCAAATGCATTCAGGCCAAACTGCTAGTTCGGCGAAAAACAATAAACACGTAAATATAGAAGGGTCAATCATCGAAAAATAAAATAAAATAAAATCGTAAAACTTTACCTCGATGAAAGTTCGTTCTACATAAGGACACTTCTTGAGGAAACTAGCAATATCAGATGGGTTAAGGTAACTTTCTGGTGTCACAGTCAAGTGGAATTCCTTTAACTGCCAAAGGTGAAAGTCGATTTCCTTGTATTCGTTTCCATCGAACCTGGGACCTAACAACCCCTTCATATAATTTTTGCCAAATGTTGTAATTAGTACTGTTTGGTAAGCATATAAACTAACTTATAAGCTTTATGTATTCAAATAAACATGGTTTGGTAGGACGATCTTTTTTAAGAAACTCGAGTTTAGTAGCTTTTCAAATAAACCCATAAAATTTTTATTTCAGCTGATTTTACCAAAACATTTTTAAGTTTTATCATATAAGCTAGTTTTTTCGCCCATAAGTCATAAGTTATCAGCTATGAACTCAAAATTCACTTAAAAGCACGTAAACTGAAGAAAAAGAAAATATAAAAATACCTCAAGAAAACTGCTAGTAACCGTAAGACACCTTAAAAAGGCGAGACGAACCAATGCGTCTTTCATTAAACGGACGTGTTGAAATCCTCTGGGATGTGAGATGTCAAATACAACATCATTCAACCGTGAAATATCTTTCTCGATTTTGAACTCACAAATTTTTCCATGATAATAAAAGGAACAAAGAGTCGGGGCATCGAGAGTAATGTACTCGACATCAACACAATATTTCACAACCAAATGATTAAAACTCCGCAAATTTCGAGCCGAAATCTTGAGATTAGAAGTTAAGTTACAGTTTACAAATCGAACGGCCCTCAAAGCCAAACAATTTGTAAACATCGATTGGATGACGGCTGGCCGAGCTCTCACATTTTGAAGAGTTAACTCGCGTAAATTGCACAAACCATTTAAGCCAAGCGAGGAATTATGGAGCTCGCAACAGACGAGTTTCATGATTCTTATGCTTGATACGTTTATTAAGTCACAGCTGAGCATAAAGTTTCTTCTCGATTGAGTGAAATCGAGTTGGAGTTCTTTTATTCTTAAACCAACAGCCTTTCGTATCCAGTCAACAATGAGGCTTGTATCGTTGGTCGGATCAAAGTACAAACAGAATCGATCGGCATTGGAATTTAAATGGTTTTGAAAAAATTTATTGACGATGCTTTTGAACTCGTTTTTCGACAAATTTCTAGCAAAATTCCGGTCGAATGCGAGATCGCGGCAGAATTTCCACGAATATCTATAACGCGTAGATAAAACGGCGAGGCCGAAAAGTTTTTTGATTGGGAGATATGACAAAACAGTCTCTAAAACATCATCAGCCATTGCTAGAGGATGGTTTGAATTAATTCATAAGACCACAAATCATGTTTTTGACTAACTAGAGATGTCTATAGTGAGTTTATATAGAATTTTTATTTATTTTTTCATCATTTTTCTTATTTAAGTTTTTGCCTAAAAATGGCAATGGTGAACCAGGAATATTATTTCCTGGATTTTTATCTCTTTGATTCATGCTATATCCATTAATTAAATTTGGATTTCTTTTTATATTTTGTCTGAAATAGGTTAATACATCTTTCCAAGAACCAAATTAGGGCAATAAGGTTTAAGAAATTTTTTTCAATATTTTTTATTAGGTTAATTTTCTGCATCAGCTAAAACATGATAGAATAGGATTGCCAAGATATTATAAAAACAGACTTGGATTTTTAAAATTTGAAACTGCAAAATAGAGTTTAAGTAATTAAAATTTTAATATAAAAATATTTAAAGTTTTTTCTTCATGAAACTATGACTAGATATCATTTTTTTTTCAAACCAATAACTATTTATTTATTTCTAATTTTTTCCCTCCTGCATCTTATCATCATAATTGAAAAACAAAAATATTACCACACATTTTCAATAAAATTCAATACTCAATCAGTTCATATATTTATAATTACTAATCATTTACAATCATTATTTTGTTATCTTTATATTACATCAATTCTAATTGTTATATTGTTATTATCTCATATTAATTCTCAATCTCAAATTATTCTTGATATGATTGATATGCTAAATGAATGAGACTGAAAGGAGTAATATTATCATTCGTTTTCTTATTGTATTATATTAAAAAAAAAAAATCATGTTAATGTTATCTTTTTTTATTTATTTTAATGTTTATGTTTATATTTTACAGAAAAATATGCAATATTTAACAAGAATTCATTTAATTATTTGTGATACTCTATTTATAACTTTTTATTTTATTGTAAAATGTTTCATGTAACTAATCCACCAATTAAATCGCTCGTTCATATATATATTAAGTAACTATTGTAAATCCTTCCATACATATATACACAAAATATTTTAAGCCTAAGTGTTTCATACATTTTTTTTTTTTCAACTCTGACCGGCCCATCGGATCGACCCGGAGCCGGAATCGGTCCGGGTATTCTATTTGACCGGGTAACAATGAACCCGGTCAAACCCAGTCAAAACCCGACCAACCCGGACTTGACCCGGTCGACCCGGGCTATTGACTCGACCGGGTCAACTAATTGACCTAGTCCTAATATATTTTTTATTTTTCTTAAATATTTTTTTATATAAAAAATAAAAACTATACAAATATATTGATATAGTAAATATTTATTGTGAGATATAATTCTTTTAACACTTTGATGTACAAATTTGATATGCAAAACATTTATTTTTGTTACTTTTATGTATATTTGTATGTCAAAATACTATATATATAATTTTTAAAAAATTTAAAATTAATTATCCGGTTAAGCAATTGACCCGGTGATATGGCCCGGAGACTTGTCCGGGCCGGGTTTAAAAACTATGGTTTCATAATCATATTATGTTAATTTCTGATACTTGTGTCGATTTCTAGTATTTCAGAATAGTGTAGATCCAGATTTATTTATTTATATATACATACATATATATATTAAAACTTTTATAGTAATAAAACACTTAGTTAAGTTATATTATTAATATTTTAAATCTTAATTATTTTTTTATTTGTTGTCGATTTTTTATATATGATATATCAAATTAATCATTTATTTACGATTTTCAATTTGACATTCATACTGCATAAATATAAACATAAATAATTATAGTTATATAAAAATAGTTCTAATTGAAAAATAATAAATTTATCTTGCAACTTATTTGCGTTAAAAATATTATAACATAAGACAAGCGACAATTTTGCTATTTGAACTAAAATTAATAATGTAAATTTCTAAGAAGTATTTATATTTAAACAAAAAAACTAGTACAACACTCGTGTACTACACGAGTGTTGAGTTAGAAATATATTTTAAAAGTTATTTCTAAATAAAAAATTTAATTAAAATTTTTTATGGACTAAGCAATGAAAAAAAAAGAAATATATAGTGTAGAAAGTGATTGTAAATCGTAATTTATGAGGGAAATATGGGAGAAAATTATAAGATGGTAAGATAGCTACTTGCACAAATTAAGAGAGAAATTCGGACTAAGAGAAAAAAATAACAAAACTAAATGTACACTTACCAAGTTTAAAAAAAGTTATTTAGGTTTATATCAAAGCCTAATTCCAAAGCAAAAAATTAATATACAAACAACATTCCGAAGCATAGATTTTTGTCATGTCAGCATCTGAAGCGTGTGACCCTGCAACCTAGGCTCAACACATTTTGAATTAATATAGGATTTCTACTTTCATTAATTTTGCCACTCTTTCGATATACATTTCTCAATTAACTGTTGTATATTAAACAGGTGTTGTACCGCTACTAGTATATATTTAGATAAACCTTACATAAAATGTATATAATTAATTACTATAATTATTTTATAAAACTATACAACATATATGAATAAATAAATAAATAATTTTTCTCCTAATTATTTCAAGATACATTTAACTCTATAAAAATATATAATGTAGCTAAGAAAAAATATTAAAAATGAATTAAAAACCAACCTTTCGAATTATTTATTTTCAAAATAAACAGTTCCTGATATAATTTAATCACGATTTACATCTCATTTATTTATTATTTATTTATTTATTTATTTTTCTTTTCCCACTATATGGGAGTGAATCGAAACATGGTTTTACAATTCTCGTTGAAATTGTTATTTTCACCTTTAAATTATGTACGTATGGGTTTGGAAAATGAATAAAGATACAACCATTTCATTCTCGTATCATTCCATCTTGTCAATTATATTGTTTATTTGGAATGCGCTTCAAAATAGCATATAGCTTAAAAATACCCTTAATAGTATCTTTATTTATTACCATAAGACAGGTATGTTCCGTAAGTATGCCACGCCAATGAGGTCGTGCTGTAACCACAGTTTAACTACTGATGGTGGGTCGAATAACCATTGACAACCACTTATAGTAGTGTTTTTAAATTAACTTACAACATGAAAAACAAATAAACTTGAACCCTACTTCAAACATGGTGTTTCAATTAGGAAGCTCACTAGTAGCATTTCAGCTTCTAGCTTTTCTCTATTCTTGCCACACAGAATCTAAATTATGCACTAATAACAAGTCAATAAAATACAAACATCAGTAATTTATTTATTTAATTCGAGTTTCACGTGTTATTCTTGTTGCCTCGAGCCACAAAAACTTATTTCTGTTTTGTGCGATTTTTTTATTAATAATATCATTGATACAATTTCAAATAATATTCCCCTTATTATAAAGATTATCGTCCCCGAAAATTTTCCACATGAATCATGCAATCTTTTCTCCATCAATAAATCTCAAAATTCCACATGTTTTTTAAAGTGAATGATTTGCTGACTGATTTGCTTGATATTGACCAGTATAAAATTTCTAAATAATTTTGTGGATTATTATCAATATCCTGTTAATTTAAATTCAAAAAATGAAAGGTCAACTCTTACCAC